AGGCACATAATGAAAAACATTCCGGGGGGTCACAAATTGTTCGTTCAGGATAAAGAAGTTGCGACTTTAATCGAAAATCTTTACAGTGTAAGTCCATTTAAATAATAATAATAATAATAATGATGATAATCATTTTTACCTTTTCCGCAGGTTTTTTTTTTTTCATTTTTTTTGGGGGGGGGGAGTTTCCTTTGTCTCGGGTTTAAATTTTTAAAACGTTTGTCGGGGGAAAAAAAAAAGGCGGTACCTTCTTTCCCTCCTTCTCCTTCCCCCCTCCTCCTTTTTTTCCCGTTGCGAATTTTAACCGCGAGAGTTCATAAAAAAAAGTTTGTATGCGCATAAATCGATGCGTTGTCGAGTTTTTTTTTTTTTTTTTTTTTTTTTTTTTTTTTGTGCCCATTAAAGTTTTGATGACACGTGATGGATTTCTATCTGTCGTCAAGGTCTCGTACGATTCAGAGGCCGTTCACTTTACATTTTTAGGTTGATTACATTAGAGAGAGAGAGAGAGAGAGAGAGCGAACAACAAACGAACAAACGCGAAAGAGCGTCGTAGTAGTGGGGAGACAAATGAAGAAGAGATTTGAGATTTTTCTTAGAAAAACGCGCGTTCGTTCTGTTCGTTCGTACGTTCGTTCTTACGAATCAATTTTAAAAAAAGAAATAATAATAATAATAATGATGATGATAAACGTGTCAAAATCAAGATAATCGATTAAAAGGAAGTTTATTCGTAATTTATTATTATTATTATTATTATTATTATTTCTTCCTACGAGAAGAAGGAAACGGAAGAGTGGGAGAGTGGGGGAGGGGGGAAACGTGGAAGGAGAACTTGTCACCTTCGAACGTGTTTTTAAAACTTTTTGTTCTTATTTGTTTGTTTGTTTAATTATCGTTTGCAGAAATTAAAATTAGCATTGATAAAGAAAGAAGAGGGAAAACCGACGGCTTTACTCACGCACCTTCGTAAAATCAACGAACACCTCGCGAAGAAGGACACTCGCTTTCTCACGGGGGACACGATGTGTTGTTTCGACTGCGAACTGATGCCACGTCTCCAACACATTCGAGTCGCCGGAAAGTATTTTGTCGATTTTGAAATCCCCGGAGAGCTCACGGCTTTGTGGCGTTACATGTATCACATGTATCAAT